TACAACAAGAGCCAGAAATAAAGTAGCAAATTGTTACTGAGGAAGGTTGGTGATTTGGAATACGAGTTCCCAAGTATGTTGTTCAATTCGAAGGGGAGGAAGGAATATTAAAATTGTGGGGTGAATACAGAACGTGAGAAAGTATAAACGCGTAGTGAGCTTGCCGCCATGAGGCAACCAAACGCCTCAACCGTATCACTGGTTGGCATGAACATTAGAACAAATATGTTCGCCTATGTAAGTTTTTATTAGCGTGCTGTTGCGAGGCGCGACCGCAACGGATTATGGCGAAATGTGCAAGAGCGTTGGCTTGTCAATACCGTTGCGATTGCTAGCTGCGCCTTGAACAGTACTACCAGTATTGTTCAAGGCGAAGCTAGACTATTATTGTTGATCTAGTTATCACTTGAGACATAGTATACGTTTAATGTTCACAACAACAGAGCAGGAAAAAATGAAAAAAAGGCATTTTGTGCAAATCGTAGCTTAACCACTTACTCCATGATCCTTGGCTAGATGGAAGAACATATGCATTTGTCGTGCACCCGCCGTTACTGGTTTCTGACACTTACTGCATTCGCCCAGCACTCGTTTCTTTGAAATTCTGGAACTAATACAAAATAATGGGAAAACCGCTCATATCCTCTGCAAGCATGCATGTTATCAGGATTTGTGAAACAACAGTATATTATAGAGAACTCACGCGCTGCTAAGTGCTTTTGCACTCTGGCTTTTTGAGGGTTTCTCTGTATGCGAATCGACGTAGCTATCTTCGAGCCGACCATCTGAGGCGAAAAGAGCAGCCACGTTGTCCAATACCGAGCTTGAAATGGAATCATGCACTAAGGAGTTGTTGGAAATTCTCCCGAAAAGAAAGGCAAAGTGAACACAAAAGAAATAAACCCTCTTGAAATAAAGTGACCCCGTGTAACAAGTCAATGTAACGATTATTGCAATAATCAGATAAATATCAGTGGAAACTTGAATGAGCTTAGAATCATACGAGATCAATATGAAGCGATAGTAGACCACAAACGAACAAAAATCTTCAAACTCACATAGGATTCAAGTTGTCCAGAATACTGTCATCAATCATTGAACCATCATCTTGATCGTGGTCGGCTTCGAATTCGGATTTGATTCTTTTACTGTTGAACATTGGGATTAATTCGAGATCCTCCGTAACTGAAAATGTAAATAAAATGTAATGATTGAAAGAAAAACATTTCGGCGTTTTCAAAGTTCAAGTTCTCAAGCGGTTTTGGAGTTTTCCAGTGATTCCTGCGAGCTTCGTTAATATGTAT